AATATATATTATTGTTTTTGGCGATTTTATTAAGTTGGGTATTCTAATCTTTACCTACTATTATCTTTCAGTATTAGCCATTATAGGAGTCTAACTATATATTATTATATTTTGTTATAGATTATCGCTTAAAATGGAAAGTCATAAATAACAAATTTATTGCACCTTATCTTTATTTATTTTTCATTTTAAAAATGAATTTAACTGGGTTATTTTGCCAAATGCTCAGTCAATGTTGTAACGTATACGCTGTAACCGTAAGTCGTTCATTTTGTGCTATTTCAACGTTTTTATTAGTGTTTTAAAATTCAACTCTTATGAAAATGAGTGAAATATTTAAATTAAAAACAAAGGGTGATAATATAAATAAAATAGTGTACGGGGGATTTTCGTACACGATACAACGTAAAACAAAGAAATAATTTCTGGTGGAAATGTAGCATGAAGATTAAATGCAAGTGTGATGCAGTGTTATGTACATCAAAAGACATCCAAAATCCAAAATTAATACTACAACACAATCATAAGAATACATTGGAAGTAGAAAAGTTCAAATACAAAATAAAAAATCGTGCTAAATTATCATACGATAAACCAAGTCAAATATTTGCCGAGGCGGTTAGTGATCTTCCGCATGATATTTTAATGAAAATACCTCACGAAAGTGCTGTTAAACGTGTTATTCAAAAGCAACGTAGCAGTTTAAATCCTCTTAAACCTACTTCCTTAGAAGATTTAAAAATTGAAGGTAAATACTTCGCTTATTTTTAAACTATTTATAGTAATTGGAAATATTCGTTTTTTTTTGTAATTGTTAATTTTTTGGGTAAAAATGTCTTCAAAATGCTATACAATGTTACAGTACCTATTATGTATTATAATATACATAATATATCATGAGAAATATTAATGATATTATTTAATTTGTATTTTAGGCTATTGGTCATTGTATGAAGGAAGACAATTTTTACTATACGACAACATGGACTCAAGCCACATTAAATAGTGAACACAGAACCAATAATATATGTGAATCATGGAACAATCGCTTCACACTCTTGGTAGGTCATAGACCATAGTTATCCAACAATATGGGTGCTAAATAAAAAATCAAGCTAGAGATTGCAGCCGATAGGGCAAAAATAGCCTTTAGCAGTACAGGACAAACAATAAAAAAAATAAAAACTAATCAAAAAAACATTTGGCTTAAAACATTATGCGAGCGTATTAATAAATCTGAATAAAGTGTTAAAGAGTTTTTAACTGAAGTGGGAAATAACATTAGGACATGGCCAAGGTTTTAGGCTAAAGACATCAATTTTTATTGTACTTACATGTTTTTTTATTTAAATTGAAAAATGTATGAATGTATAAGTATAATACTGTGTAAAATATGATGTAACATATTATAATATTAACTTACATAGATATAAGATAAAAAAATTTATTGTACCTACATAATTTTTATTTAAATTTAAATTTGTTTTTGTTGGAAAAAATATATAATATTGTGTAAAATATAATTTAACATATAATATTAACTTATTATAAATAAATAAACCGGACTTTTTTTCACGGGACTTTTATGACATCGGACTTTTGTTCGGCGATTCAACTGCGTCATTAATAAAGAAGAATATAACAATTTATTCAGTATCCTATAGACGTTTATAATGTTTGTAGACTCATTGGTCATTACCTACCTAATCATTATTAATATTATTACTTATTAATGTATTTTTATTCATTCATAGAATTACAGCAATAACTTGTCCCGTCGGTGTAAATAAATTAAACCCGTAATAGCTTGGTAGTTAATCGTATTTACTGTTTACCTAATTACATAAATACCTGGGACGCTGATTCATTTTTATTTTCAATAAATCACCTAATAAGTGCAGAACCGACATTTTTTCAAGTACGGACCTATAGAAAATTATTTCGACTACGTCTTATCGCACACACAGACACAAATAAATAAAATAAATTTATACTTTTATTTTATTAAACATAAAAATGTGTAAATTTAAAATTATGATTTATTATTAATCAAACGATCTACAGATATTCGTATAAAAAAATATTAATACAATTTTAATTTTAAATATCAATATAAATCAGCAGGTATTGTTTGTACTTCTCGTGCCTCAATTATCATCACTTTCAATTTCTCTCGCATTGTGTGCGATAACGATAACAAAATTAGCAAATGATTTTTTTTGTTACTTATTATACCTAAATTGAGACTTATGTTTGACATTCCTTGAAATTGCGCTTTTGGTATAATTGTGTCTCTTACAAATGCGCTCTTGACAATAACTAGCTATGCCCCTAAGTTATATTATAAAAACGTGCTTATAAATTTATATTTTTTAGTATTTTGATTTTTAAATTTTTAATTGTACAACAACTTACAAAATATGTATTTTGATGGAACATTTTGTACAGAAAAATATAATTTTAGTGTGCCTGACACCGTGACACTTAATATTGCATTACCCGTGTGTCGTCTGTAGAGCGACAAGCAATCGGTTCTGTAAGCATGCAACCCTGGTACTTGATCTAAGTATTGCGTTGTTGCGCGAAGGATCGCGACTTGTGAATAATTATTACTATTATTATTATACATTATTTTATTTAACTGTACTTACAACTCTTCTTTGCCCAGGTAAAAAAAACGGATATAAAATATTTCTCTATACAGGTGTATTTTGTTTTAGTGTTTGTTATTTTTTGTTTTGGTCCTCTACGTTATAATATGCAATGCAATTAAACTTTTTTTTGTTAAATGCTTGCTTTTTATCACTGATGACTATCAGCTATATTGACTTATTTTCAACGGTTCCTTAATGGTATATAAATGAAACCTAAAGTAGTTTATTCCAAAAAATATTGATATATTGAAACTACTTCTTACAGCAACGATCGTATTGTCGCATTATCATATCAGTCTTGCCCGGTTTGCGATAGGATATAATAGTAATCAGAGGGTAGAAAAACGTTTTCGGCCACAATAACAGTTGGCTGCTGTACGTGTCGAATTCCAACCGAACAACATGTGTGCGCGGGCACCTTAGATTATAAATCCTGCCCTCTCAGTCATTGTCGTCTTGGCGGGTAGTAGAAGACAAACACTGTAGCTGCGACTACCTGACCGCTGCAGCGCGACGGGAGAGATAATATAATATCGAAATGACAGTGTCCCATTGATCATTTCTCCACGACCATGTATTCTGGTAAGTACCTACACATTTTAATTTCTTCCTTGGAAACTTACTTAAATTATTTAAAAACATTATTACCAATATTAAAATATTTTGACGGCCGTCGCTTCATTTGGGTTTTACGATGATAAGTAGGAAGTAGGTGCTTAAAATGTAATTATATTAGCCTGAAACGTACACCACATTCGATAACGTAGCATTGAAAATGATTAAATATTTGACTTCCATGGTACCAATACATAAAATACCTTAGATAAAAACTAAAATAAGTAGGTATACACTAGAAATCCAATTTGGAATAATTGTTATACAGTTTTGTTTTAAATTCTTTATTAAAAACAAAATATTGTTATGATCTCAAGCATGGCTTAAATATACAAGGTTATTGCACATAGCCAAATTGTTATCAAATAAAAAGAAAATGGCAGCGTAAGGGTACGGTCCATATCATAGCATATAATATCATAATATAGCCAGTATGGGCAAATGTAAACTGGGCCCGAAGTTACCTTTTTTGTTGTAAACTCGGCCCGAGAATTTTAGGTAATAAAAATAGGTAGATTGTAAACTCGGCCCGGAAATTTCAGGTAGTAAAATAAATCGAATGTAAACTCGGCCCGAAAACATACATAGGAGAAGATTCTATGTTTCCGCCTGAAATGTGGGCCAGTGCTTCAGTTGAAACGTATTTAACAACAAATGCATGTGAATCATTTCATGCGCATTTTAACTCAAGTTTTAATTCCACTCACCCCAATATATAAATAATTTGATTAGGTACCTACTTTAAGCCACTGATAAAAAAATATATTTGTAATCATACATTTTGATAAAATAATTACTATTTTAAAGTTTGAAAGAAAATATATAAGTTTGATCCATCACACTTTCATCTTTAAACACTTGAAACTACTCGTCCAAAATTACAAAAAATATTTTTAATTCTGAGGTACTCAAAATATTCTGTTTTTGAATAAGGAATTGGTTATTGTTATTAAAAAATTAAACAATATAAAAATGATAGTCGTAAAATAAAATTTTTTTAGATTAATGTTGTCATTTAAAAACTCAAAATTATGTGAATAAAATAGTAAAACCTCTAAATATGTCATTTCTTTATTTAATTACACTTTAAAGTAACACATGAACTGTTCATGAAAACTTCATAACCAGTATAATTAAATAGAAGTAACGTATAACAATATAATTAATTTGATTATTTAGTTTTAACTACAGATAAAAATGTTTTATTTTTACATTTTGATAAAAAAAAAAATACTATTTTTTAGTTTGAAAGTAAATATTTAAATTTGATCTGCTCCACTTTGATCTTTAAATACATAAAACTATTCACCCAAAAGAATTTTTGCTTTTGAATAATACTATAAGGAATTGGTTTTTATCATTAAAAAAATTAAGATATGTTTAAAACGATTTAATAGGAATTTTATTAATTTAATTTAACTTTTTATCAATTATTCCAAATTGCTTCTGAGAGTTCAGTACCATTTTATTGTGTATGATAAAATTAATAACATCTACTTAACAATTATTAAAATAATTATTTCAGAAATAGATTCTGAAAAAAGTAATAAATTGGAAAGAAAATATGAAAAAAGTATATCTTCAAGTTCTAATGAAAAACATTATCCGAATAGATTATTCTCGGGTAAACAATTTATTGAACTATTTATTAATTTTGATAAAACTATTAGTGCTTAACAATTATACTATAATTTTTTTCAGAATCAAATGAAGAATATTTTATTCCAGATAAATATATATTCGAAAGTCCATATGCAAGCTGTTCGTGTTGCCACGAATACAATGGAAAAGAAATATTGTATGAATGCTGTGTCTGTTATAGAAGATATCATGATTATTGCCATATTCCTATCATCGTTTCCAGGTACTTATATTGTTGTTGCGAGTAATAGCGATGCCATTTAAGATGAATTATTATTTAATTGTTGTGAATCAGTTGACTATCGTCATAATTATATTTATTATATGAGGATCTTACACTAATTATTATTATAATAGGAGTGAAAAAACAAATAAAATATGGCGCTGCACAATGTGTGAAGACATGAATACCTTGTCAATGATTTTAGGCAAAGATGATGACCAAGAAAATATTTCCGTTGGCACAGTTGGGCGAAAAATTGCTGAGCGTATATTAATGGAATTGTACTGTAACACAGAAGGAAGTGATATTTTCAGTGTACGTCCCAATCCAATTATTGTATGTCCAATAACAACTGTTAATCATTTAACTCTGCAATTATTTCTATGTACTTTTTATATTATTTTATTTTGTAGCATCCGGAGTATTTTGCAAGCATTGGCCGTGAAATAGCATTAAATGATGTTAGAGATTTGTTGATTAGAAACGAAAATTATAAGCTCAGTGAGGTTGTAGAAGATATAAAACAAGTTTTAGTTAATGCAATGTCATACTATGAGGTGAGTATTAAATATTAATTTGTGATAAAATATTAACATTTTTGTTGTTGTTGTTGTTTTTTATTTGTTAAATGTATACAAACTTGACCGTGTAAATACTATTTGGTGTCCATTTTAATATAATTTGAATTTCTTTTTCTATTTTTTAAGTCCTTAAGTAAGTACTCGAAGATCTGAATTTACTAAATGATGCATAAGTTTTGTTTATAAACATTAAATTGTTTTTTCTTCCGGCAATTGTATAACATTTGTCAATAAAAGAAATCTTCCGTGTCTACTCTTTGTAGATTGTATATTATTTTTAATTTTCATATTTTTAGGTCGGTGATCCATATTTTAATTCAGCGAGGAGACTTCTTAATCATCTACACAGAATGTACCAATCATGGATAGCTTAGATAGATATAGCTGTAGATCATAGTTTATAAGGTACATGTTGAAAGAAGTTAATGTTTTAGTATATTTTATAATTATATGTTAAATTCTATATTCACTTATTTTAAATTCCTTGACAAAGCTGTCTCTAAGACTGAAAATAAATTGATTTTTTTGTCATGAACTGTACTTACACGTCTTCACAGGAGTATAATCTAGGATATAGGTGGTGTTAATGTATAACAATTTATGACTCGTTTAAGCGGATAGTTAACTAAACAAAAAATATTTTATTTCACCAACAAATTAAACCCTTTAATCATATTTTTAAATGTTCCGTCATGTCACAAGCCACAACTCACCAGCATCATAAACTGTCCCAAAGTAGTAAAGTATACCTGGCTCGCAGCAAATAGGTAAAATATCTAAGTTTTATGGCTTAGATTTAAAAAAAATATTGTTTCTATGTTTTAGGTAATTTAACAAAGGAAATACAATTTTGATGTTTAATGTAACTGTTCGCCAAACAAAGTTTTTTAGTTTAAGGTTGTTATATTTACAAACATTATTAAAATTGTTTATATTAATTTTGTCTAGTGTATGACGGTTTTTTTTTAAAATTCTTTTCTGTTAATATAGAGTGTACAAATAGTGTAAGTAAATAATAATAAAAAATTTTTTTTTCAGATGATCAATGGCTGTTTGTATTGCACACAATGGACTTTAAAAAAGAAACAATTTTTGAGTTATGCCCATCATTTTCTTTTTTCACCAACAATAATAATAATCTTTAATTATAAGCAGCAATGTACATAATATATTACATAATAATAACTTAAATTTACTTAACATTAACTTCTTTTTTGAAATCTTGTAAGATTATCTTTATTACTTACCTAATTGGGATACATAATTGCGTATATTAAAATAATAATAAATAATAATAATAAACTCTGTTTAATATTTTAATTTTAATTTTGAATGTCAAAGGTATTATGAATGAACTAATAATAAAAAAAATTATACGTTTTAATTTATTGTTATATAATAATCATATTATTTTATCTAGTATCTTTTAAAATGTATAAGAATTATTGTCTTATAATTTTTATCAACAAATATGTATGTGAATTCTATTTTAATGTACTACCATAATGTAGTCTCGGATATATAGCTGTACCCTGCCAAAACACAGTATCCAACATTCTTATCAAAAATAACTTTTACACATAATATTTTGTAACAATTCATTCTGAATTTCTGTATCTAATCCCCTTTGAAATCATACTATTTTTTCAGGAGTTATTGCACTGTGAGTACAAGGCAACTACACAGTGATTAGTTTGAAATAATTTACAAAAACAATTATCCTCCAAAATTATAGAAACTACAGATACTGTGTTTTGGAAACGTACTGTAAACACACACACACTGATGAAAGACTGTGGATACACTATAGTATAAATACATTGAAAAAAATAATACTTTCTAGTTTTTAACACAAATAATTGTCATTGCTAATATTAGTGAAAAATTAAATTAAATATTAATAAGCTGAAATAAAAAGTTTGATAAAATTAATCATGTTCAAACTTCAAATAAACAGCTTCTAGTTATATCCAGGAATGGACAGTATTTCAATTAAATGTATTTAAAATATATTTTGTATTAATTAATTGTATTATTAGTAATTTTTATTTTATATTCAAACACATTTGTGTTTTATGTTTTATAAAAAATGCTCAAAATACAAAATAAATAATAACTGATAGGTAATACAATTCTCAAGATTGAATTTAAGCTCAGTTACAAAATAATAACGACCTTTACTTTTGTTAAACGAAAAAATAATATACTATTCTGTAGCCTGTAGGCATAAAATAAAAAGCAATAAAAGCTGAAATCTAAAAGGAGTAAAAGTGGAGCTTAAATTTAGGGGATTCTGGGTATCTTATATTAATATTTTTTTTTGTAAAAATAACAAATTGAAATGATGTTCATTACATAAAAATTAAAAAATTAAAAACTTTTTTTAAAATACTTATGTCAACCAATTATTACCTATTTAAATGAATCTTAAGGTGTATGTATCTTTTATGTAATATTGCAATTCAGGACGTTGTAGCCATTTACATTATACAGTCAATTGTCAATTACTTACATGTTACTGATAAATGCCAAGCATCATATTTTAACACTTTGTAGACTTAGTTCTATAGTGGCTATTCATTAATAGTTCATTATTGTATTATGTATGAAAATAGTTTATTATAAGTCTATTTAATGGTAAAATATTTGTGTAAAATATATTTATTGGTACTCGGGAGTATTTAAATTGTATTTTAAATACGTAATTCTAAACTTAGAAACTTAGAATTTGGACAAAATTCGTAAAAACCCACGAAAATTAACATATTATATTTAGTTAGATATTCATAAACAATTTTATATTTATATCTAAGATTTAAAAATGTAATGCAAGATTATTAACAAGTTTTTCTATCTTTATCAAAAAAAAAAATTTCTACCAGAAAGTCAAATTAAATTTAAATGAGCATTTAAAGTTCAAATTTTTACAACATTGGATATTTTCTCGATTTCTCTTGTAGAGATTTTTTTATTTAGTTGTAATTCAATAACAAATTATACTGTAGAAACTTGCAATTTACACCAAATGTTTATTTAATCAAATCATATACATGATAAGATTTTCAAAATATTTTGACTCGTTTTAAGTATTTGACATTTTCAATTTTCATTTTTTTTTTCTATAAATGTCGATAAAATTGTATTGGTTGTGTCAAAAAGCATGACAATTTAATACAAGACTCTTGATAACTTGTTACAATAGCAGTTGAAAAATATTAAAAATATATAAGAACAATTTTTTTTTATAAACATTTAAAGTTCAAATTTTTACAATATTTATCAAATTGAAAATTGAAAATTATTTTATAGTTAAAAATGTATGAGATTTTCAATTTTTATAGCTAAGGATTGAAAGTTTAAAACAAGTTTCCACTTAAGCAGTTTTTTTCCATAACTAGGAAATCTAAAAAAATGTATTATTATTAATTAATATTTTTTTACAGATATTTTAAGTTCAAAATTGGACAAAATTGCATATTAACACAAAGAATAACGTTTATCATTTTGTTGTAATTCGGTTCCTAAACAGCCCAATTTTACATAGATATATTTAATATTTTTCCAGCATCACTCATAATTTAAGAATAATTCAACTTACCGGCTACCATATTAATAATAAGTAATAACAAAAAAAAATATCCTAAACTGACATACCGTCACAGAATCGTTTTTCGTATTCAATGATTTGATATCATTGAATTCAAATTTTATACCAGTCATTACAGTGATCTCTTACCTAATGTAGAGCAGAGCGACATCCACTTACCCCCTTTTTTAAATTGTTTAAACCCATTTAAATTATTAGTGAACAATACTAAATTGGGTTAGTGTTATATACTTTAATTCATTTTGTTAAGAGGAAAAAACTAGTATACTACCGACATACATAATATTCGTCTTATACAGACAATTTTACATTCAGAACAATTAATTAGTAATTTCTAAGATTATGGTGAATTTTCATGTAATACAACTCAAATGAAAAAATATTATCCATGAACCCACAGATATTTTAAATATTTTAAAAAGTTTAGCTATAAAATATGTACTCCTTACTAAATTTAAAATTAAAATATAAAAAAAAATATTTGGTGCCCAATTTTTCTCGCCTTAACATTTTCTAATAGATCAATTTACTCTAACATTAAAAATAACAGAATTAAATTTGTTCCATTAAACATACAATTTGGTATGTTATGCTTTTGTATGATGGAAATATCAGATATATAACGTCCTCTTATTAGTAGTAAAAATATATATTTTAAACTTGAGTTTCAGCCTCAGTGTTAAACAGAAATTATAAAAACATAATATATAAAATTTATCTATTGATGAATATATTGAAAGATGTTCATGCTCATTATAGTCAATATTGTGGTTTGTACACAATATTAATTTATGTATTTATTTATTAATAAATAAACTATAATATGTGGAACATTTTTTAATATGGGATTGCATGTATAATTTTAATATTCACAATAATTATAATAGTTATTACATATTTTAATTAAACCTCAATAACATTATCAAAAATAAATTATTTAGCTAGATTAATATAAACAAAATAATAATAGTAGAAATAAAATTGTTCTTTAAAATATTTACCTAAAATGTGTTCTATATATTTCATCTGATTAATGTAGTTGAATCATGAAATTGTGTTGGATATAAATTTGTATTAGTTATTACAAATTTTAAAATGCAAATAGTTTTGTAAAACTTTGACATTTAATGGTTTTGAAAAATAAAATGTGGTGGTAATTTAAAAAAATAAATAGTATTTTATTAAAAAAGAAAAATAATTAATATTCATAGTAATTAAGTCTGACAATGATATACCATCACTACATCATGATTTTTCATTCCTAATTTTGCCGGAGTGTCAGTAACATCTATAAGTTCCCCTTCAAATTTGAAAACCGAAGTTTCCAACGAGATACCCTAAAACATAAAATGTTTAAATGTTAAGCCAGCAAGACTACAAATAAATAAAAATACAAAAAATACAAAATATATAAAAATTAAAAATTAAAAATATACAAAATTAAATAATTGGTTTAAATAATATGATAATTCATCATTACGTCTTATACAGGGTATGTTTTCAATATTAGTACACAGTTTCTGTGTTGTTTTATTTGTAGTCTGTACATTTCAGCAGTTTATATAAAATTTGTTTAGTTCTAATATCAGTGAATTGGCATATTATTTAACTTAACTTTGATATTTTAATAAGGTGTTAATATTACGGTTTAAAAAAAAAAATTGTATTCAAATATGAACTGTTATATGAGAATTTTCCACACATTTTGTTAGTTGCTACAGTTACACACTTGTTGATAGTTAATTGTCAACAATAAATGCAGATTCTCGCCTCTCTTAAAAGCAAATAAGATATGCTTATTGCAGTAAGTAACTTTAATCTATTTATGTTATATAGGCTGTTAAAACAATTTAAATTTCAGAAACAAAACTCTAAATAATACTTAGTTTATTCAATTTTGTACTTTAAAATGATTGTGTTTACATTTTTAACTGCGTTCTTCTAAGAAAGTGTTGGTATCAGTATTTTTTTCTTAAATTGCAGGTAAGTAGTCTATAAGTGTTAAAATATAACTGTAACTGACAAATATGACTTAAACAGTATAAATTATAGTATAGAGAATTCTGTATTATCATAGTCGACAATTTGGTAATAGTTTTGTTTCTAGACTACATGGTTTTTAAACTTAATAATTCTGAATTTAAGATAAGATAACATAGAAATAATTACTATTAAACAATTAAAATAACACTAAATTGACTTTCTTTTACAGTAAATCATTCCAATTTGGTGAATCTTACTAGAGTAAAATGGAAAAAGCGAATGAATATAATACAACTTATAAAATGTGACTAAAAATAAACAAACGTAACATAAAAATCATATTTATTTGCCTCTATGATGTAAGTGGCCTAATCAATACCTATTTAAATTGTATAAAAATATTATGAACTGATTTAGAATAATACCAATATAATATTGAAAATAATAATTATTTGAGTTTAATTCACTTGACAAATAAGATTATGAACATTAAATAGTATTTTGTTAATCATATGCACATGGATGGATCTAGAGGGCAGAATGCAGAGGAATAAATGAAGAAAATTTTCAATTAGAACAAAAATACTAAAAACATCACTTGGTATACTACATACGTATATACTTATATA